TCAATGGCATCGAATAAAATTATAAAAGTGGAAATTCCGAAACACAATTGATTTTTGTACGAACCATGTACCAAAACTGACACCACGTTAATAGCTTGAATTTTCATCTATGCGCCAAGGTTGATCTGGTGGACAAACGAGCTCACCAAAATTGAAAGTTTTACTATATGAATTCCCCCTCTGAAACAATATAAAGAATTTTGTTTTCAACAAAATATAAAGGTTTTCTGATTCCTCGGTTTATCTTAAGTTGAAAAGATCTTATTCATTTTTTTTAATCCATTAGTTTCCCACAAACATTGGCTGAGTTTAAAAAAAACTTGTTTTTTGAAAATTTCAGCTGCATATTAAACAATGGTTATTTAACGTTTTGACAGCAAACTGGTACTCATGTTAAAATAATTAGCATTATATATAAAAAATTCTATTTTGTACGTCTTGTTGAGTTTTAAAAAATTATTGACACGTATTTTTTCTTTTCTTTTAAAAATGAAATTATCAAAAGGTATAGTACCTTAAAGTTTCTCATTTGTTCATAGCTATAGATACACTTCCTGTACATGTGACGTTTCAATTACACGATAAATTGAGTAAAAGTAAATATTTTTTTTTTAAACTTTCAAGAATACTTGGATTTGATATTATGTTAACATAGTTTAATTTTGAACAAATTTTATTTAACCATTTCCCTGTTATTAAAGGTTAGGTGACCGTTTGTTACTTTTTTTAAATCGCTGTATCTTGGAAAGTTTGAAATCCATTTTGATGTTACGCATCTCATTTCTTTCGTAATTGATCGTAAAATATACATGTGTAATGTATGCTTTACAACGTCACATATATATGTCGTTTTTTGTAACTATCAAAAAATCATAACTTTAAGGAACTGTATCTTTTACAATTTTTATTTTGTAGGAAAAAAAAAATTACGTGTTGGCTATTTTTCAAAACTCTACAAGACGGACCGAATAAAAAAATTATTTTTTCCATGCATAATCCCAATTATTAAACCTTGTTATTAAACAATACGTCAACGATGACCCGCTTAATATATTTTATTTAATGACCAGTAAACTTCGAACCTACGGAGTTCTTACGTGCATACAATACGTATAATGTATACCTTTATATATAATGAACCTAAGCACCTGGAAATACACGTGTTGAATACATATAAAACCTCATACGTTTGAGGCTTACTGGATACAAATCAGATACAAAAACTGGATACGAATCAGAACAAGGTTCAATAAATATTTTAAGCACTGGTTGGCTATCATAACGTTTAATAATAATTGTTCCATATGCAGCAAAAATCTGCAAAAACGCATTTTTCAAAATTTTGTGAATTTTTGCAGAGAACCTAGACAATTTATGTGCCAATACTTTTCTCAGTGTACAGTAGTATCGTCAATGAAATAATACATTAGAATTTTATATGTAGTTACTTTTTAGTAAGGAGTAGTTTTATAGGATATTAGTACACACTTTAGTGACAGTATATAAATTTGAATCGTTTCTGACAATGAATATCTCTTTTTCAAAACAAATTTTGGAAATTCTGCTTTGATTGACTCATTAAACATTTATGTAAAGTTATCCATTATATAGTTGTACAGCAAAAAAAGAACTTTCGTACGTTTTAAAATAAAATTAAAGTAAAAAAAATGTTAAAAAAAGAATACGGAAGATATTGTGAAGAAAAATATAGTTCAGTAAACCATGAAAAAACAAATTAGGTTTTTTTTAAAAAAACATTTCTTATGTATTTTGTATTCACCAAGAGAATTGATGAATGAATTATTGGAAAGTATAAAAATCAGTCAAAAATTAGAATTTCTACTCCCTCGCTGTCCTTGAAGTGTTTAATTTTTATCTGTGTTTCGCCATATTAAACTTATCATTTTCAATTTCCAAAATCTGACAACGAATACGCAATCAGCGACCCGAAAAACTCTGGTATATCAATTTTTATGCTTAACTTGTTGTCTTCAACGGCTCTAGTAATTTCTTTTTAATAGGGATTTTTCATCCCTACGGGCGATTTTTTAAAGAAAATACAAATATTGGTTAACTGCACATGTTATGTAACATGAAAAAACATTTTTTTGATTAATTTTCAACGAATTTCAGAATTTTCAGAAAAAAAACTTACTATAAGAAACATAGTCTCAACCCTTAAAATATAGGGGATGCCACCCTGACTGTAAAATATTTCTCAAATTATAAGTACTTTTTGATGGGAACAATTTTCATATAATTATTTTGAAAAATATTGAGTTTAAAAGAAAATATTACAGAATGTGTGTTTTACGGGTAAAAACTTAAGGGTAGATTTCACCTTTTAGGAACCGTTCTCCGCCGATAAGAAAAAACACTTGTTATTGATTTTTTGATTCTCTAGCACTATGCAAAGTTTTATCAAAATCGGTGACTGACACTTGGGTAGGTTTACTTGTCAGTTACTAGTTGACTATTATCATCGTACTTTGTTGCATGGACGTTTAAATATGGTTCTTGTATCAGTTAGACGCAAGAATGGACTGGACAACAGTGGACAGATTTTTGTAGACAAACTTATTGTAAAAAAAGTTTGATTCTTAGGATAAATATAAATTCTGTCTAAAAAATATGTGGATTGATCGATGATTTAAAAATTAATTTTTCTATAGTAATATTTTGAATCAGAAAACACAAAGTTTCGATTATTTGATATTAATTTGTACGCTTTGGCACGTTTCGCGATTGTTTTAAAATAGGCTCTTTCATACTGTTTTTTTAAGCACTCTTATTTATTTAATTCCAAATGATATTAAATTTTTTTTTCTCTCGTATACTTAGTACTTTTTACAAGATCGACACAAACATATGATTTTTCAACACATAGATCCATTCTCTAAAAAGAAGTATTAAATGTCATCATTTGTTCGAAAATTTCAATTACAACTTGCAATGTGAGGCAAAATTTAAAAAAAGCTAGGCTTTCAGAAATATCTCAAGCATTAGCAGACAGAAAAGAATCTGTTTCTGGACCAATTGACTTATTTTTAGAATAATTCATTGTCGGAAAGTTATTTTTAGATAGTGATTTTAGCAATTTTATACGGACTGTTTACCTAAAACACAAATGTGTTTTTTATTTTTGTAATAAAATAAAGATAAGATGCAAACATTATAGCCCTTTAATAAAAAAAGTAAATTTTTTCACAGATGTATATCTTTAGTTATAAAAATTTTTGTAAGAAGTAGAAATCAACCATCAATGAATAATGAGTTATCAAACATAACTTATAAGGTAAAAAAGTGACAAAAAATGGATATCGTTGTCCTTCTTCTCTCTAAACTCATTAAATCTTTTAGGAGAATCTCTAACAAAATTTAGAAGATCTTGTACTTTGCTATTTGTTTTTTTTTTACCGAAGATATACCTTCAAGAGCATCTTGAATGTATTAGATTCAGCAATGAGCAGAGCAATGTATCATAATCTTGGTTTTATCACCCTCGTCATATTGCCCTCTTACATTTCTTATATCCCAATTGTGCTCAGATAAAAAATTCATTACAAGCTCAGATGAAATTTAAGCTTTTCTATATTTCTTTCATAAAAATAACGTTTATAAGATAACTTAACTTAATGAACATTCTTTTCCAAAACTTTACTTGGGATAACATTTTTTCACAAGCAACACAACATTAGTAACGGTCTTAAATTCTTGATTAGATGCTAAAATCTAAAACAAATTTCTTGTATCATAATATACACGACACCATATGCAAACGTAACATCATACTTTTCATAACATCAAAACAGTTGTTGAAAGACACTCACGGTCAGGTTCAACGTTGCTTGTTCAGTGACACACACATGACTGAGCTGTTAACTCGAAAAAAAGTAAATCCAATGATTTTCGCTTAGTAAATAGGGAACTTCTATGACTTTTTACGTTTTGAAATAGTGAAAATATTTTTAACCAAAATATGAGTTAATATTCATTATTTTAAAAATGAACACCTCGTTCACTTTCGTAAGTAGTGAAATTTATACTATTTCAAATTTAGAGAGTGGATTGTGCAATAGCTACCCTGGCAGTAATGATGCCCTTGGAGCCAGACCTATTGCCTTTACTTTAACAGAAGAAATTGTGCATGTACAATAAAGGTCCAGGTAGAGTGCAAACCAGGTCCAAAGTAAAAAAAAACTGTTCTAGGTGGCCGCTCTAAGCAAAAAAGTAAAAACATTGTATTACAGCTTCTATTGGAAATTATTTTTTTTTTTACTTTTTTTTTTTTAAACAAGTTTTATAATAAGTGCATTTAAATGACACAAGCGGCAAATAAAATGAAAAATTATTAACGGAAATACGTTCCTCTGTGATAAGTTTTTTTCAAGTATTGTTTTTGGTTATTTTTCTGTTTACTTGTCACAGGTGAGCTACTTGTCCTCAATAGATAATCATAACATGTATACTCAGCCAAACAATTGTGTAAAAATAAAAAAATCGTTTGAAAAAGCTGATCTCAGGACTTTTGTAATAAAACTTTAAAAAACAGGTTCAAGTAAATGTGTATAGGTATACACTTGTCCGTCCAAAATAGTTGCCAATGCTAAATGATGTACCCCCCTCCCTTTCCGCTCTCTAGTTTCCCTCGCTAACTGTGATAAAAGACCTTCATGGTCTTCATTGGATGTATCAGGGAACTCTATTTTTTATTACCATAAGCAAAATACAATTTTGTCAATTAAAATCCGTTTGCAGATGAGTAGAGAAACTTTTTCTCGTGCTTTTAAGACGCAACGAATCATTCCGCAGATCTTTTCTGCAGCTTGACTGCTGCATGAAAAGTATAGTCGAAGTCTAGCTCTGATGTATTGATGGCAAAGGAAAGAGTATCCGAGACGTGCCGAAAGTGGCCGATTAGGACCGAGTAATACGAACAGAAGGCCATATGCGTCGCTACCAATGCTTGCACCACTAACAAGAGGTACGCTGTATTACATTCGTTGCCTTTAGTGTCATGCCAAACTTTTTTTGAGAGATATAGAATTAGTTACCCTCTAATAAAACGCCGGTCTTCCTGACCCTGTTTTTGAACGTAAGCCCTTATCATATATTATGCCATGGATTACTAGTACACTGTAGATGAAGTACTGTGACTAAATTGGTCATAGTACAGCAGTATCACTGACATTGAAGTGAAAATAATAAAAAGGTGTAATCCAAGGCAAGAGGGCGCGTGCACTAGGTACCTATATCCGCGTGTTAAACAGCAGTTACTCTGCACATAGCTTTACGTATTCCTCATTTTGTTGTTTTTTATTAGTCTTCTGACTTTTTTTGTTATCATATTTTTAATGATTAATCTTGTTGCTGTTGCCGTCGTTGTGTTTGTGATAATCCAAGTGTAAATAACTTAGTGCAGTTTTCAGTGACTGATGGGAGAGGTTGATTGTGGCAATAGAGCTTAGGTTAGTGAGTGAATACTCTACTTGAGAGCTTAATAATTTTTAATCTTGTGGTAGAAATTAACTATTTAATGAGTAATAAAAATATTTGGCCCAGTCGAATGTTACGTGGCTAGTGAGTTAAGCTTAAAAAATCTTCAATATTATTATACACCGAAGTCAATCCTTGTGAGCTGCTGAAAAATAGGAGGCAAACGCACGACCATAAAATGAATCTGGCACTAAGAGTAAGGGCTAGAGTACTATGCCTCTTACCTGGTTGAGTTAGTCATCAACATACTTTCACAACTGTATTACAGCTCTGTAATTTTCTTGAGTTATTTTTGCCTACTAGAATTTCTTGAAGCAACCATACTTCTAGCTCTTGGCTCAATTACAGTAATACGTATTTGCAGCACAGACAAAAAAAACTCAAATTCTCAGTTGGGGAAAGCTTTTATGAAGACAGACTCCTTGCTGACGGGTAAGCAGAAGCAAGTAGTTAGTCAGGATGCAAGTTGCCACATTGTTTAGAGAAAGCGCCAACTTGCTTGGTGGTTCTAGCACAGATACGTTACAGACCCATCAAATACAGCAACATCACCAGCAACAGTTGCAGCATCAATCTATGGATTATGGACAGCACATGCAACATCTGTATAAAACGTAGGTGTTGTACAGTTGTATATTTTTGCACTGATTATTATCTCATTAGAATAATTAATTACTCAGCCTAAGGCTTAGGGAAAAAACTGACAATTTATATACTAAAATATAATTATAAAGTAATATTTAAAACCATAAGTTGTGAAATTAAATACATCGATATCATTAACAAAGACAAAACAATTGAGACCTTCATAAAAACTAAAAATACTAGCTTTTTTTTGAGTTAGTAGCGTAGTTTGGGGGAGCTTGAACTTTCCGAGGTGTGTCCAGACATAAGTACAGATTTAGTTAAGAGATATTCAAGTAAAACAGTGGTATACATAGATATCACTATAGAATATTATAATTATTAATAATCGATAGAGATATTAAATAGTACTATTCAAAAAATTCATCTCAAACATTTCTTTTAATATCACATAGAGAGTTTGATTTGTTTTGGATCATTCAAATGTTTTAACAGATTGCTTTTACAGACCAACCATATTGTTCATTAATGAAACAAATTTATTTTAATGATATCACGAATTTGTACAACTGTGGGATAACAGGTTCTTTCAGTTCTAAAAAAAATACATTTTTCAAATAGTTGTCGTCGCAACCTTAGTATTAGAAACCGAAAACTCAAAAGAAGCTTCAACGTGCATTTGACAGTTAGTCTAAGTACATTTATGGCTTGTAATACGTTAGTGAGGATTATATTCATAACAAAAAGTGTAAGTATCTGTTGTGGGAAATATTGATAAAAATGAATAATATAGCATATGTAGTATGTAATTGTAGCAAATCAAGTTCACTCTTAGAACGAAATTATGTAATTAAATAGGTATGCTTAATATTTTTTTTCAAATGCAGGAATTCATATGGATAAAAAGTATTTTATTAGCCATTCTTAAGGACCTTTTTGTTTGTGGCCAACGATTGATGCATTATCATAAAAACACTTTGAAAATAAGTATGCACCAGTGCAAAAACATCGAAAACGTTAAAAATTTGTAACGTATTGTGCTAAAGAAATTTTTTTTTTAAGTTTAAAGTGTCTTTCACTGAGTTTAAGCGAATTTTGATGAAATTTTAGTGACTTTTCACTAAAAAGTTAATAGCACGAATTTTTAATCTTTAAGTTTGATTCCTTATGTATTAAACATAAATCTAGAAATAAAAAGTCAGGAGATGTATGGCTTCATTTACAAAACTACATATTTTTTAGACAGTCGTTTAGTAGCACTGGTTTGATGACGATATGGTAATTTTTTATGGTTATTGTTATTATCATTGTGTACTTAGACGTAAAATATGATAAGCCCATTAAATTAAGAGTCTGAAGTTTCGAGTGCTTGCCTTGAGCATTTTTGAGTAATTAAGAATAAAAAGTTTAATGACGTACTCTATCCATTCCAGTAAAAAGTAGAGAAAAAATTGTTCAATGATTTTTTGAAGTTTTTCTAGTTCTTTTGAAACTATTTTCGTAGAATTATAAAAGTTTTTAGTCTTAAATTGCTCTAGCAAGTGTTTGAAATACCAGAGTCGTATTAAATTTTCAATTTGGCTATAATACATCTAAGATGTATTTTATTTGATAAGGCCCATTGTAATCTTTGCAGCAACATTACATCGTGCAACATTTGTAGATGTTATTATAAGACATTTTATCTTTGTCATGGTAACTAAACTCAAGAATTATTATAGTAGTATGTACTTGTCCAATAATTCTAGAATTTGTAAATATTTAAGTCGGATTTGAGCTTACGTATGATCATAGCAACGTACCAGTAAATGTTTCAATCAGCCTAAAAGAGCAGAACTACATTCTAACATAAAATGAAAACTTTCGAATTTATGCAAAATATTTCTTACAGGGTAAAACGGTAATACACAGAGAAAAGAAGTGTTCAAAAAAGTATTATAACTATACTATAAATTACTATATTTTTCAGGGAAGCTAAACCATACTGATCTCACAGTGAAAATTGTGATCATATACTTTTTGCTATACAACATAGTAAATTTTATTGTAATCGTTTTAAAATGTCCCACATTCAGAAGTAGAATTTGCTATGTGACGTAGTAAAATTTCTCATTCCACTGAAATGCCATTCAGTATAGTAAAAGTTACTATGTTCGAAAGTAATTTTCTATGATAACTATAGGTATATGTGCCTGTCGAGTGGTTAAATTTTAAGGTTATATGAATTCCATCAAACAAACAAAAAATAATAAAAATAAAAAATAAAAAAATCCCTTGGTTTTAACTTTATTGTGTATATCATGAACAGTACACGTTTTCATACGTACTCAACAATAGTTGCATTATATCGAGTTAGAAGACGTTGATACAAGTAATAATAAATTTTCCGTTGACTAATTTATTGTTTTTTTCCATACGCTTTGAGATTGTATATTTTTTGTAATGTTTGTTTTCAGAAAAATGGATAAGGTTATCAGAGACTATGGAAAATTTATTATTACTTGTACAAACATCTTTTAATTCGAGAAATTTGTAAGATTAAATTATTAGTGAGTAATTGTTACTTACTTCCATGCATTATCTCCGGTCCAGTGACTCCGACTGTCACCAGTGGTGGCACTCTGTCAAACTGTTGCACTGTCTGAATGTCTCAGCTTTTCTATAAAATATAGTAATGTTTAATATAGGTGCAACACTTTTTTCAACGCCACTTTTCTCAGTGTGGCAAATAATAATTCATAAGTATATTCAAAAATTATGGAGGAAAATTTCATACTTGAAATGAGAATCAAGTAGCAATTCTCAATGAAAATCATAGTACAGAAAGTCAGTACAATAACTATTTCGAGAATGAAATTTCCACTTGCAAAGACAATGGTGATCTAACTTTTATTCTTCTTATTTTGTATATATTTTACAAACTGTAAAAAATTCGTTAAGTGTAAATTGTTATGAGGCACCTAAGACTTATTTCATTAAAAAATATCATAAACTATCATTTATTCACTTTAAAAAAAATTCAGCAAAATAATAACAAAGGGTACATTTCCACAGAAAAAAGTTGTTGTTTTAACATGTTTCACAATGACGTAACTACGAATGACGATAATTTGAATTAATGATAACAATCCTAAAACTAATTGTTATTGGTTCTTAAGAAAAAATGTAAGAACATAATGTTTGAGACAGGTATGACAAAAAAAAATAAACTAAACAATAAGCATTGTTAACAAATTATGGTAGTGGTAAATAGAGTATTAACGTACCGGTAATAATAAACATCTAAAAAAACGGATAATAATGCTTTTTAGTATAAGTTTATTTCTTTAAAAAAATCTCACACTAATAGTCGTCTATGTTAAACTTACTACGTTAATTTCAAGAAGACTAGTTGAAGTAATTATTTCCATCAACGATAAAAAAAACTTTTGCAAGGAACTACCCAATTAGTTTACCATGATTTTGAGTAATAAGAGCTTGTCTTACACTGTCACTATGCCTAATCTGTAATAAAAGTATAATCATGGTTGCTTACAAAAATTTGATGTTTTTGAATTCAAACTATTCAGGTGCCCTTAACTCGATTAATAATATTATTAGCATTTTTTACAAAAATCTGTTACAGTACAATACTTTCCTTACAGTTTTTTCATTTCTTCGTTCCTGCAAACAACTGCACTACATTTTTATTGTAAAATTCTTATGTTATAATGAATCCTGCATGTATTACATAATTTTTTATATAATCAAGTAATAGTTGTTAAATCTCAACTCCAAATAAAAAAATACTCACCTCTACTTGGAGCGACAATGAAATAACATAAATATATGACATACAATATAACTTAATGTTACCTGAAAAAGGGAATGGTTGATTAAATAGCATTCTTAAATTGTAAGTTAATAGAATTTGAGAATATTAATCTCATAAATCTCAAGCATTTATGTCCAACGTAATTGACTACTTCTAAATTTTGCTAAATAAATTATGTGACTAGTCTTAACCAATAACATAACGATTAAAAAGCTTTAAAGTACGTTCGTTTAACTACGTAACAATTGAAATTCCAAGATGGGATTAGGCTCAGTTAGTAATTTTATTATCATCGCAAATTTTCTTCATTAATCGTAATTCTATAGTAAAAGTAGATAATAAAATTGCCACTATTAACTTACCGAACAATTTTTAATTCCTTATCCTTAATTTTTTTACTATTTGAGACCATATCAACAAGAAATCAAGAACCGTTGACTTCCTTGCACTAGCTATTTTCTTAGTAAATAATGATTCAAAATTATTGTTAATTATAACAAAATTATAAGCAGAAGAAGCATTCAACGATCATTTTCTAAGAAAGTTTTAGTACAATGTTCACCTGTCTAAAATTTGAAACAGGTAGTAAATATTTGTATCTTTTAAATTAAAGTTGTTTTAGATGTTTCTGGCAGTTAGAAGAACTAAGTTACTTTCAGGAACATAAATTTAACATAACTTCAAATAGTAGAATGGTGACAAAAAATGTAATAAAATCAAACAAATAACTGTTATACTAAAAGTTAGACCTGTGATAGTAATATCATACAGCTTATGTATTATTACGTCCATATTTTAAGTCATAAATTATATGCATCTGTTCAGAAATAAATCATAAGACATGCAACAACAGTAATTTTATGCTATTTGAAAATTGATTTTTTTTATTAATAATTACTAATTAAAAAGAGTTTCTCGTAGGGGCTCCATGTATAAATTAAAACAGGCTGGACAAGCCAAAAAAAGCTGGTAGCTCTTGTATACATATATTATATGTTTACGTCACTTTTTTCTGATTAGGTTTCGATGCCTAATACATTTAAATAAGAAATTATTTTCATAACTGTCAAATCTTTAAAATAAAAACATAAGAGAAAAGCTGTGGATGCGGTTTTTGCTTAAGCAGAATATTAACTAAAAAATTACGTAAGCATAGCAAAAAAAATTTAACAAACTACGTAAAGACGTTAGGAAATTAAACATTTTTGAGAAAAC